TTTTGATTCAATTTTTTATAAATAGCAATTGTATTTTTGGGGTTTGGGATTTGTCCAGGTTTTGCCAACAAGTATACACGTGAGTGACCAAAAGTCTCAACAGACTGGAAAGAAGCCCCAAAAGTATGCTATTACTGTGAACAAACAGGACATATCAAGAAAGACTGTAAAGATCTTAAGGCCTCAATCAAATTCAGACAAAGACTGAAAGAGTATAAAAAACAAAGAGAACTCAAGACCAAGAGCCAGAGCCAAGATGAACTCAAAGCACAAATGCAATTCAGTCCAGAAAACCCTTATGTTTCAGAAATAGTTCTAGAAAGCACTGATAAAAGCTCCACAGAAACACAAGAAATACTCCAACCAGTAACAGAGACAACTATGGCAAAGACAATCCAGACAGAAGAATTCAATCCTACTGAAGCAACAGCAAAAACAAATGAGATAGAAACAACTAAAAACAAACCAGAAGCCACAAATATATCTACAAATGATGATTTAGCAACAGACATGGAAACAGATTTCATAGGCCACAAAGAAATGAACAACAACAACGAAAAAGAATTCACTCTAGTTACTTCAAGGAAAGGAAAATATAAAAGCAAGACCAAGAAAGGAGGCTACTCTCTATTTACTAAAGTCAACAAAGCAGACAAGGAGAACAACCCTCAAAGGGTTTTTTCTCTTCATGTTTAACTAATAGAACAACCACAAGTGTGGCTTAACATACATTGATTATTCCATAATCAAGATTGCCACAAAGGCCCAAAAAATATTAACTTTACTAAAATTCTACAAATTTTTTTTTTTTTTTATATATATATTAAGGCCGATGTTACGGAGCTACTGCCTTTATTTGTGTTTCTATCTCATTTGTTTTTGCTGTTGCTTCAGTAGGATTGAATTCTTCTGTCTGGATTGTCTTTGCCATAGTTGTCTCTGTTACTGGTTGGAGTATTTCTTGTGTTTCTGTGGAGCTTTTATCAGTGCTTTCTAGAACTATTTCTGAAACATAAGGGTTTTCTGGACTGAATTGCATTTGTGCTTTGAGTTCATCTTGGCTCTGGCTCTTGGTCTTGAGTTCTCTTTGTTTTTTATACTCTTTCAGTCTTTGTCTGAATTTGATTGAGGCCTTAAGATCTTTACAGTCTTTCTTGATATGTCCTGTTTGTTCACAGTAATAGCATACTTTTGGGGCTTCTTTCCAGTCTGTTGAGACTTTTGGTCACTCACGTGTATACTTGTTGGCAAAACCTGGACAAATCCCAAACCCCAAAAATACAATTGCTATTTATAAAAAATTGAATCAAAA